GGGCAGCCGCCCGTGCCGGCCCACGGGCTGCAGCGCCGCTGCGAAGCGGTGCCCGCCGCCGGCACCGGGCCCACGGGCTGCCCGATGCTGCCCGACAAGAGCGTGCCCGGCCTCAAGGGCAAGGAGCCCGTGGTCTATCCCTGGATGAAGAAGATCCATGTGAGCACGGGTGAGTTGCCCTTGCCCGGGGGAGGAGGGGGGGAAGGTTGGGATGCGCCCGCAGAGGAGGGGAGAGGGGAGGGTGTTCCCGGGCCCGGGACGGGTTGTTGCACTTCTTTTTTCTTTCCCTTCCGCGTTCCTAATAATCATAAAAAGAAAAAGAGAGGGGAAAAAAAAGTGAGAAACCTTTTGTATCCGGGGTCCTTTATCAAAAGATTTACGAGACGCCAAACTGTTAGGGCAGTAATTATAGCCCCCATAAATTTAATTGCCCTGCAGTGGCTCTGGGCCATGTGTCTTTGAAGCTTTTCTTCTAACCCAAATGCCCATCACCATTTTTTATTGCTCCTCGATTGTCCCCACTGTCGTGGGGGCTGCGAAACAATTTTTCTTGCCGTTATGTATCTTATTTGAACCTGGTGTCAAGTTATTATATAATGATTATGTTCAATCGCTTCCCCCCCTCCCTTTCTTTCCCCCTGCGTGTGTGTGTGTGTGTTTGCACGTTCAGTCAATCCCAATTACAACGGAGGGGAGCCCAAGAGGTCTCGCACTGCCTACACCAGGCAGCAGGTCCTGGAGCTGGAGAAGGAGTTTCACTTCAACCGCTACCTGACCAGGAGGCGACGCATCGAGATCGCGCACACGCTCTGCCTCTCCGAGCGCCAGGTCAAGATCTGGTTCCAGAACAGGCGCATGAAGTGGAAGAAAGACCATAAACTCCCTAACACCAAGATGCGCTCCTCGAACCAGTCCACACTGAGCCAGCAATCCAAAGCACAGACACAGGCCCATCCCCATCCCCTCGATGGGGCTACCCCCAACGCAGTCGCGCTATAAATATTACTTTTTTAATATATATATATATATATATTTAGCCATCTGTTGGGCTTTTCCAGCTGCCCGTGTTGATGGAAGGCCATTTGGACCAAATAACTGTGTAAAACAAACCAGAGCAGAAGCAGGAAAGGAAGAAGAGACGTGCCCAAGAACGGGTACATGTTTAAACCAAAACCCGGACGATTGTCTACATTGTATATAGATAAAGCCTCCATACCCGTCATTTCTTTTCTATTTATGGAAAAAAACAAAAGAAAAAGAAAAAGAAAAAAAAACACTCTGTTGCCCTCAGTGTAACAGAGTGGCTGGATACTGTCACGGACAAATCATCTGTACCTAAGAAGGACTTCTTTATTTTATTTTTTTTTTTAGTGAACCCTTAAAAAATAAAAGACGGTAAAACAAAGCAAAGACCTCGTGAGACACTTGTGTAAGGCACTGACTCGGGCAGCGCTGCTCCCCCGCGGCGTGTCCGTGGATCCGCGTGGGTGCGTGTGAGAGGGTGCCCAAGCACGTTTGCACACGCACGACCACGCGAGGAGAGCGAGCTCGTTCACAGGCGGCTAAAACTTACCCAAAGTGTCCCCTTACACTGCCTAAAAGGAAATGTTGTATGTATCAAAGGTAACTTAACTGAATTTAGGTGTAGCTCCCGCAGTATCTGTGATATATTAGTTTTTCTCCACATTCCCTATCGCATTTATTTAAAAAAATATTGCTATAAAGGCTCTTGTTGTTTTCATATTTGGCACCGTCTAAATCGTTTGGGTCCATGTAAAATTTGTGGATTTTTTGGTGTAATGTATACAGTGCCAAATGCTGGTAATAAAGATTATTCTGTACAAAAGTATTAAACGCTTGAAACACAAGTCCAGTGCTGTTTCATACACCTTGTGCTTTGCTGCTGTTGGCGCCAGGGATGGAAAGAAATATGGCTGAATATATTGTTTTAACTTGGAGCAATCTTGTCCATAAGGTAATGGTTGTATTAAATATACTGAGGGGAAAAAAAAAATCTGCTCAGTCCTAATTCCTTGTCTGGAAAAGAGCACTGTAGGGCAGGGAAAAGTCTTGTTTCATCGTATAGGTGAGTGGTATTCTTTGTAGCGGTCTATATGGTAGAATTACTGTGTCTCTCCGTCTCTGTACATATGACTCCTTTCGACTGCATTACAGCGAATCTGAGCTTCCACTGGGAGCCAGTAAGCTCCCATGACGGATTTTACTGCAGCAGAAGTCACACATGCTCCACACGATAACACTTTAAATCTTTAGCCAGCCGTGATTTATTCGTGCATTTTCGTCCGATTATGACTTTTTCAATTGGCTAGCGCTTTTGAAGGAAAAATACTTGGGCGGTATCTTAGTTTCTCTAGTAGCTTTTTCTGTTT